GGTTCAGGGCTTGGGGATTAGGGTTTAGGTTTGGGGTTTAGGGTTTAGGGCTTGGGATTAGGATTCAGGGTTTAGGGCTTAGGGTTTAAGGCTGAGAGTGAATCTGGGGGAGCATGCGGAGTAGGGTTTGGTGCCGGCATTGGAGGGTGGAGGGGCACTGTGGTCTTGTTGACGCAAGAACGCAGAGCTTCAAGACTCGATGGCGTTAGGGTTTAGGGTTTACCTTACTTAGCATGAGAAAGTGTGATCATTAGACCAGGTCTACTGTAAACTCAAATATCATGGCTTTATCGTAGAAGACCATGCACCTATTGAGCAAGCTGTTATCATCAAGGCAAACGCAAGTCTGGATATGGGCTGAAACCCGCAACCACGTGAAGGAAGCGCATTGCTTCAAAGTTTTAAGGGTTATGCCTCAAGACCCTACATAAACCCGCACCGGTTCACTTGCTGAACGCCTTCAGTGCATTTTTTGAATCTGATACTGGTGCTTTCTGTAAACTGGAAGCCCAGAACAAAACCCAATATACTACAATCCTGATTGTGGAACCTCCAAAACTTTGGAAGAGCCCTATATCTAATCACCTGGACCAACAAGTCCCGTGGTCAGCTTTTCAAAGTCAAGCCCTAAACCCTAGACCCTAAACCCTAGCTTTACACCCTGAGCTGGCATTATACTGCTTCTGCGTAATCGTTCGCGTCTGCTCAAAGGCCAAGAACTACGTTTAAGGGTTTAGGGGTTTAGGGTTCAGGGTTTAGGGGTTAAAGTCTTTCTGAACTTGTTGTTTAAGTTCTGAGGCGCTAGACATGAGACGAGCAACTGGAGAGATCATAATCACACCCGTCTTTGTAGAAAAGCTTTTGACCAGCTGAAGTTGGCGAGTCAAGCAAAGGACCAAGGTAGTGTACAATCGACAAATCTCCCGAATTGCCAAAAGGTCTATGCAGCCATCTACTATGGGAGGTTCCCAAAATTAGGGGTACCATTTTGGACAATAAGGGCTATAGTATTTTGGGAGTCTGTATTGGGGTCCCCCTATCTACCATATATACCCGGGCCCCAAGGTAGGGTTTTAGGGTTTTAGGGTGTAGGTTCTAGGGTTTAGGGTTTTGGGGTTTATTGTTTAGGATTTTAAGGTTTATGCCCCAACTATATACATTGTACCTAAATGGACTACTTGGGTCGAAGGGGCTTAGGGGTTTAGAGTTGTTAGCGTCCCATGTCGCCCTATACGACCTTGAAAGCTGAACCCTGCATATCTCTCCGAACTTCAAAAAACTTCCCAGCCATGTGAGCTATACTCTAAACTCCTAGTATCCCCTCAATAACCCCTATAACACTCTCCTATACAAGCCCCTAAATAACCCGCTTTAAGGAGTTTTTAGACTATAGCTCATGTAAAAACTCAGGGTGGTGGGGGAGGCACTTATTCCAGGATCTTTACGCTCCATGCTTCATGCTCTGCTGTATTTCCATACCGAATTGCTTTGTTCTTCTTCCATCTCCGGATTGCTGTCAGAATGGGGGCCAGATTTACGATTCAGCGCTTTAGATCTAACCCTAAACCTCAGAGCCTGAAGCTCAAAAATTGCACCCCAACACCAGCAAGCTACACCCCGAACCCGGAATCCCACGCCCGAGATCCAGTACCCAGTGTAATCCCGGGATGCTAAACACCAAGCCCCAAGCCCTGAATCCCAAGCCCTAAATCATACGGCAAGTTCCACCGCGCTTTCCAGTCCCTAACCCTAAACCCTAAGCCCTCAAACCCTGAATCCCATAGACATAAAGCCCTACGTACCAAAACTTCCCTAAACCCAATACCCTAAATCCACCCCCTACACCCTATAAACCCTATGAACCCTATACTGTATACCCTATAAACCCTATAAACCCTATCTACCCCATAAACCCCATAAACCCCATAAAACCTATCAACCCCTATAACTCCTATAAACCCTAAACCCTAGAAACCCTGAACCCTAGAAACCCTATAACTCCTCTAAACCCTAAACCCTAGAAACCCTAATCCCTATGAACCCTAAACCCTATAAACCCTAAAGCCTATGAACCCTAAACCCTATAAACCCTAAACCCTAGAAACTAGAAACCCTAAACCCTAACCCTATAATCCCCAATCCATGATGCATCCTGGGCCTCCCCACTTCTCAAGCACCACAGTCTCCATGGGCTCAGGGATGGGTTTGGGGGAAGAGCTCCGCCGCCTGGCGATTTAGGGTTTAGGGGTTAACGGTTTGGGGTTTAGGGTTTAGGGCTTATAGGGTTTGGGATTTAGGGTCTGCGGCCTGCAAGAGAATCGGAACTACCCCGACGGCTCCCAGCTACCTGTATCATGGCAACTGGGTTCTATATAGCTTATAGTTTCATAGGTTAGTAGCCGGTAGCCTCCTTTTTGGGTAAGTGAGAGACCTAGGGCACCACATTATTTAGGTAGTCTCGACTTTGAGTCTAGCTAACCTGAAGCCCTAACCTTTTTGTGTTGGGGGGGGGGCTTGTGATTTGTAGCTGCTTTACGTTGAAGCGTGCGACCTTGGATTCTGTGCATGTTTCACAGTTCCTGCGGAGGTGGAGGATACCTAAACCCCAAACCCTAATTGCCTGTCTTCCGAGGCAACGGGAGTCTAATCCTGGTGGGGCTCACTTTCGCAAGATGCACTGGTAGACTGCATAGTCTCTGGGGGCAAGTATGGTCCCTCTGTGGATGCCCCCTATACAACGGCCCAAATATAAGGGATACCCAGAAAGGAAGCACGATCTTGGCAATCCCCCCCCCCTAATCCCAATGATATCAGCCTCTTGGCTACGTGTTCTCACACAGGTGTGTGACATCTATATAGTCTCCAGGCGCTGATTCCCCGCGCCTTCTACAAAGCTTGCAGTAAACGCAGTTTAGGGTCTAAACCCTAAACCCTAAACCCGAGCCCACGTGTGAAGAGGCTCCTGATGCATCTCCAGAGTGCGCTGCACCACCTCGGCAAAGGGCAGTTTGGGATTCCGGTTTAGGGTTTAGGCTTTACGGGTTAGGGTTTAGGGTTTAGGGTTCATGGTTTAGGGGTTTGGGGTTTAGGGCAAGAAGAAAGTTTGAGCACTGAGGTAAGTCTTGGGATCTGCCCAATCCCAAAAACTTCACATCTGAACAGAGAGTCTGCTAAGACGACAGCCGTGTTAAAACAGGCCTATTTCCCGGTTCCATTTTTGCTTAAGGGAGAATAACTCCACTGATTTCGTCTGCATTCTTCTCCTATGGTTGTTTCTGTATGTATGTATGTACGTAGGTATGTACGTATGTATGTATGTATGTATGTATGTATGTATGTGTGTATGTATGTGGCACCTAGAGGGAACTGCCCACTAAGCCTTTCCTGAGGCTCATGTTTGCTTATCTTTCGACAGGAAGACCTGAATTTGCCTTTTAAACGCTAGACCCTGAACCCTAAAGCTCAAACCCGAGACATCCCTAGACCCTCAGCCTTGAACCTCAGACCTTAAATCCTAGAACCTAAGTCATGGACCCTAGATCCTAGACCCTAAATCCCAGACCCTTAAATCCCAGACCCTAAATCCCAGACCCTAAATCCNNACCCTAAATCCTAAACTCTGTTCAACAGCATCTCGTGAACTTTAAAGAAGCAACCTTCTCACTGGTGCTCAGTTGGGGAGTGGGGAATGGGAAATAGGAACCATTAGAGGGGATTTAGGGTGCACGGTAAGGGGGTTGCAATTATGCAAGATTTAGGCTGTATACGGGTTTAGGGGATTGTTGGGGGGGGGGG